CAGATGGAAACTATCCACTGGGATTCCAGGGCAGTGATTTTAGAAGACTGGTTTACAACCCAAAAATGTGGTCTACGGGCATTAAAATTGGTTAGTAAATTATTAATAACCCTCGAAGAAATTTCTGTGTAATGTTCCTCAAGACTTCTCAATAAAGGCTCAAAACTATGCACTACACTGTTACAACACTGAACACAACAAACTGCAAGAACAGCATTTAAAAGCGACTCCCCACCAACAACAGTCAACCAGTGGCAGCTGTTATCAAAATCAACTCTCCTAAATAAATGGATATGGAGTGGCCCGCTGCTAATGCTGTAGAGAAATGTCAAGAGTTATGGACAAGTCAGGTAAGAGGAAAACACATCTTACAGACGTGCAGCAAAACATGTGTGTGACACAAGTTCTATAAACGTACAGAAAATTATTGTTAAGACAGGTTTAACAATTTTTTCTGGAGCCTTCCGCATCAGCAGCAAGTTAGTCAGTCTGGGGAAATCCGAATCTGTGCTGCTTAAACTCTGTTATTACACTGTTATCTTTCTACTACCCTAAAATATTAAAATGGCCTTTTAAAACAACACACCACTGTCAGCTCAGCTCCTCTAATCCCCTACAGCTATGTGTCAAGCTCTCAGTCTGTTTCTCCAATGTTTCATAACTACAGTCCTCTTCATGCTCAGGCAAAAACCAACCACAATAGGTCAAGAGGATATCAGTGAGAGCCCAGACAGTGATGTCAAAGGTCCCTCACAAACAGGGCACATGAACCCTAGGGGCCTCAAAAGGAGGAATTCAGCAGAGAAAAACAAACCCAAAGACTAGAGGGAAACAAACCTAAAATGATTGAGAATACAAAGAAACAGAACAGACGCATGTCAACCGGTGCCTCTAAACATCAACTACCTGTGGCCAAACTAATCTCTAAAGCTGTCACACATACATTTATAAACAGCTAAGCAGAATGGACAACACTTCAAGTGTTCCTGTACCAGCCTTTGGGTATGTGCTCCTTCCAAGATGAAAGCGAGACAAACCCTGAGCACCATTTACAGCTAAGTGGAGTTGAAACTGTTGTGCACCACAGGGCACTTCAGAAGGCATGTGTATAGTTCTAAAAATTAAAGACCATTTTAATATTTCAGGGTAGGTTTGTTGGCTCATGAAACACACAAACACACTGTAGCCTGCCACACTTCACTTT